GTGAGGGGCGGCCCGGGGCGGGCGGCTCGGCCGGGCTCGGTCCGGCCCGGCCGCGGAGCGCGGCGGGGGTCGGGCGGGAGTCGGGCCCGCAGCCCGGCCCGGATCTCATCCCTCCTGACAGCGCAGCGCGGCTCGGCCGCCGCCGCGCGGTGCCGGGCCGGGGGCGGCTGTCACCGCCCGCACCTGCCCGTGCCCGTCCGGGACCGGCCCTCCCGGCGGCTCGGCAGCGCCCCGGGGCTCCCCGGCCCCACGGCTGCCCGGCCGGGCTGTGCCTCCCGGGGAAGCCTCTTGCAGGGCTTTGTTGTTCTGCCGGGTGTCCCCGGGCAGGGCCTCGGGCAGCCGCGGTACCGCCTCGCCCCCAGGCCTCGGAGCGGTTCTGGGGCGGCCGGAGCTGCCCCGCTCCCCGCCGCGTTTCGGTGTCAGCCGGGCGCTCCCGGCAGGACAGGGGCAGCGGGACCGAGCTGCCGGAGGACTGCAGGAGGTGGCCCCGGCTGCGGGCTGTGCCTGCGGGGGTTTGTGCCCTTCCTCCCCCACGAGCCCTTCGGGGCTCGGTGACACGCTCCTGTCACCCCAGTGCGTGTGTGGAGCTGATGCCCGGTGCTCCCGGCGGGTCCCCGCGGGATCCTGCTGCTGGAGGCAGCAGCGGTGACCCCGAGGAGCAGCCGGAGAAATCCCATCGCCACCGTGCCTGGGGAAAAGCTGCACCTCCTTCGGAGGGATAGAGCTGGGAGTGAGACAAGATCTGAGCGTTTCGTGCACAGTGAGATGTTTAAAAATAACCCCGCTGACGGCTGGCTCCTGCCGCGCAGGTTTAATCCGCAAGCTCTTTGAAGCTCCCCTCTAAAACTGTGGCAGCACTTTGGAGTCTGGATGACGGAAGGTAGAGCTGGCAAATCCGAGCAGGCAGCCTGAGTTTGGGATGCACTGAGCAGCCTGGCTCCCTTGGGCCTCGGATGGTTTAGAATCAGCAGCTGAACATGAAACTATTTCCATGGGGAACGTCGGGATGTGCAGACCCAGCTCTGGGGTCCCCGGCTTTGATTTTTTGGCTGAGTTTCTGTTTACTGTTGTTGTTTATAGTAAACAGCGTGCACTGAGTGGCTGGGAAGAGCCATGTGGTCGCTGCGGTTCGCAGCCAGTAATATTGGGGGAAAATGTTTTCCCCACCTCGGTTCAACGCCTGAGCGCCGGCTTCGGGCTGGGCCTCCTGCTGTCGCCTTCCTCTCTTACTCTCAGCTTCTGCTGGCCAGACTGTGCTGTCCATATGTGTTTGCTAGGAATATTGGGAGCATGGGATGGTGCTTTCGTTTCTTTTGCTTCATCTCAGGCACCGGCGTGTGGCTTGGTGTTAATATAGGGAAAAAAACTCAGCTCATGGGGGTCTCAGCTTGGGACAAGCTGCCATGGTATGCAGCCCTGCATGTGCTGGTGGGTAGTTCAGGATCTGCCCAGTAGATGGTATGAAAATGCAGATGGAAATCAGGGAGTCCCTTACAGTGGGCACGAGGGAAATGCAGGTATTTCTGTGCTATTGAAAGTGTTTATTTAATTCAAAGTTTTGAGTGTGTTCTGTTTGTGAGAGATATACTGACTCTTGATCCTCCTGGTTTGGTATTTACATCTTAGCAAGTGACAATTCTGCATCTTGATAATCTGCTTTTCTTGGGGCACTTCTGTGGAAACCTGATGAATTTTGCAGGACAATATGGTTTCTATAAGTAAAAGATGCTGTTAGGTTATTAAATGATCTGATTCATCAGGTAGATGTGCTCCAGTCTAGACAGGAATGCTGCGGGAGCTGTGTCCCTGCCCTGTGTCTAATTTAAAGGAATGTCTGAAACTTTGTTTCATACTTTCAGACATCAGGGACCTCCAGAGATGTCCTGGTTGTTTCCCAATCCTGGGTAAGATCAGGAAGACTTCTAAACCCTTCCTGTGTAATAGTTCTTCTTTTAAGCTCTTCATGCTGGCAGTTCCATATCCTGTGCAGGTGATGTATGCCAACACTTAGGCCTCCTCATCATTAGAGAGATTTTCTGGGGTATTTAATCTAAATCTGTGTCTTGCACTTTAAACCTGTTATTTTTCTGATGTCCAGAGCTCATGGAGAGCACCCTACTCCACACATCGCTCCACTTTCTACATGTCTGCAGCTCAGTGAGAAGCATTTGAATACTTTTTTTCACTCTCCCTACGCTGAGCAAGATCAGTTTCTTCTCTGTTCTTCTCAGGTGGGCACATCAGCCTGGCTGACCTCTGTCTCTGACCTGGGTTCTGCTTCCCTTCACACTTCACCTAAAGTGCCATGGTCAGTCAGGGTCGGACTGTGTCAGTGGGGTTTTTTGCAGGGCAGTTGTAATAAGCTGGGCCCAAATGACCCCGTTTTGGGTATGTCTCAGCACTGTTATGTGATGAGGAATGCAGATCACGTGTTTGCTTATTTGTGCTTTTAACTTTGTGTTTGTGACAGAGGACTTGGCATGCTCGGTGAGCTCCGGTTTGCAAATCTGGAGTAGCGTGCTAGCAACGTGAGCTCAGAGCTGTGTTTGGGGCTCTTGTTTGCATCTTCCACCCTGTCTTTTCTCCTTTTCTTTTTCTTGCCTGCTACTGTAATTCAGTTTTTGCTATGAGACAAAGAGATTTTGAGTCGTTTATGCATCCATTTACGTTTGAGAAGTTTCCTGACAAGGAAGGGTCCCTGAGAAGTGAAGGAAGATGCATTGAGAACAGAGCAGCAACTCTGGCTGCCAGCTTCTCTTGTGAGTAGTTAATGTCCTGCATAAATGTAATTGAGAGATGTGCCAAGGTAAAAATCATCTCTACAATTGAACTCTCATTGTAGCAGAACTGTAACTCTGACCCCTCCTTCACCCCAGCACTACATCTGGGTGTAGCACCTGCACTCCAAGATGGGATATGAATGCTTCATCCCACTTTATTTGCAGGATAGCACAGCTTAATCCTAAAGTTAATGCTTTTTCTGGGTTTAATACACTTGTAAAAAATTCCTTTCTTACCCAGCTTAAATATCTACCAGTGGAAGCTGTTATAAAACATTTGCACTATGTTTAACCTGATAGTGCAAGTCTGAGAGCAGCAGGAAGCACAAGAAATCTTCCCTGTGTATCACCAGGTCTCACTGGGCTTGGAGTGAACAAATCCAGAGACCTGAACTAGTGGTGTTGGAATGGTGTCTGGTGGGAACACCTGAGCACTGGAGGTCAGCGCCTCTTTGCAAAGCTGTGCTCTGTCTTGGGTGGCAATCTCCCTTAGCAGGACATTTCACAGGTGGTTTCAGTTGTGAGCTGAAGGACAGATCAGTACAGGGACATCAACTGCAGCCTGGCTGGTGCTGAAAACGCTTAACTCCCAGAGATCTCTATTTTCATTCAATTCCCTTAAAAACAGAGTAATCCTTAGCTCTTTTACTGACATTTCTTACACACACCACCTCTAGCAGATTTAGACTTCTGATACACAGTTTGCAGTCTGCATGGTTCACTCAGGCACCTACCAAGTGTTTCTGCCTCTCTAGCAGGGATTTAAGCAGAGTCTGTGTGTGCCTCTGCTCTTACTGGGTTGAATCTCACACTTTTATGCAGCCTCATCCTGGGCAAAAAATCAAGAATTTGGCTGAGAACTGAAGGAAAAGATGAATGTCTGTTTTGCTGCCTCTGCTGTTTGCGTGGCAGCCTCGTCCAACAGGCCAGATTGGACAGGTGATGTCTGAGCCTCTGCAGAGGAATCTGAAGCACTTGGCGTCCTGAGAGCTGGCTTGATCAGCAGAGGGAAGTGACCCCTGCAGCTCCACAGCCTGCTTGGTAACACGTCACTGGAGATGAGGAAACAGAGCAGAGTCGATGTGGTCATTGCCAGCACAAGGGAACTGACGTGGGAATTCAGGCAGGACTGTTTTTCCCTGGCACGAGCTCGTGCTTCTGCCGCTCGCCATGTATTGCTCAGAAGTTTTTCTGTTTGTATTATAAATTGAATGGTGTTATCACCAGTCAGAAAAGAAACTCCTGCTGGAGGTGTCTCCTCCCAGCCAAGGTGCTCGGAGTTACCCAGCTCCAATTAGCTTGTACATTTTACAGACTGCCACAGTGGGAACAGCCCAGAAACCACCCTGTGGCTTGGGTTTGTTTTCAACAACGGAAACTGTAGGAGTAGATGGCAGTGGAAATTTGTGAAGTTCAGTCTTTACCCATTGAATTTCCTGCAATTCCTCCCCTCTTCTGGCCCTTCCAGGTTTCACTGGACACTGGTTCAGGTCCTTTCTCCCAGATGTCATGGCAAGTTTGGTTCACCCATTTCTGGAGTGACATCTGCATGGGGGTGGAGGGAAGTAGGTACACCCTTCTGATTCCTCATGGTGCTGCTGATGTTTGACTCCAGGAAAAATGGGTTTTGTGCCTGGGGGGAGCTGGGGGACACTTACAGTGTTTGAATTCAGTGTTGGCAGGGGCTGCACAGGGTGAAGCCCATCTGTCCTCCACTGAGTGAGCCACCATCCCATGGGCTGCTGCTCACCTCCATGTTGCCTGCCTGGACAAGGCGGTGCTGGAACACCTGCTTCCAGTGCCTGACTGGCTTCCATCCGCTCTGCCCTCCCCTGAGCCACTGCTGCAGGGTGTCCCTGCTCCTGGGCCTCCCTCGGTTCCCTTTGGAGCAGCTCTGCCTGCTCCCCCCACGCTGAGCTCTCAGCAGTGGGATGTGTGTCCAGCTGTGTCTGCAGCGAGCGGGAGGGCAGCCTGTGTTCCTGTTGCCCTCGCTCCCTCCTGGCTGTGGAAGCCTCCCTGGGCTGCTGCCAGGGCCTGCCTGCCCTCCCTGTGTCCCTGCAGCTGTGGGGAGGCCAGGCCAGGCAG